GAAACCAACGCCAACCCAGCACAATATTTTTTCTACTCGTAATAAATTCCTTGAAATAATAATTTCTGAATATTTTTTAAAACGTAACTCGCTGTGGAAAAAATATTGTTTTATACACGACGATAAAATTGCATTATCGTCTCCCGAAATTAATTCACTCGCGATATCATCGCTCGTGAATTAATCTTCTTGGTCGACGATAAAATACAATTTTATCGTCTTGTATACAAAATAACTATAATATTATGGTAACTTTCAAAAACAGTTGTCTTAACAAGAATACTTTGCTGAGTTGATTTCTTTTTCAGCAATGAAGCACTATATCAAATGATCCAAGAAGATCCACATATGTATCGTCAAATTGAAGCATCATTAGGCATTTAAAAGACCTCAGATATAACACTCAACGACAAATGATCTAATGCCGGGTCCAGACCAAATCGATACGATTTTGAAACAAAAACAAGACAAACCTGTGACAAAAATGAGAAATTCAGACAAGACAAATTTGAGACAAAGTGTCTATACCGCGAGAACAAACAAAGTACAACAAAGGTTCGGTATATGCGAATCAGTTTTATTAATCATGTGGTCTTTCTACCAGAAAGAAGATAAATACACACACCGGAAAGTCTAGGGATATTACAATTTTATCCAGCCATCGTCAGTAATTTTATTATTTGCATTTCTGATATAATAAAATTAAAATAAACAAATAGTTTACAGGACGTATTGGAAATAAAAATGCGAAATTTACCGAAATTTCAAAATTTATATCGATATTTATTCAACTCAGAAAAATACACAATTTTTTTTTATTCTAAACTGTGAATTAAAAAAAAAAGATAAAAATTTTTTACTTAATAAAGGGTATGGCCTCCTCTACTGTTCATTTCAGCCCTACATCGTCTCTCCATGCTTCTGATCAGGTTGTCAATCTCTTCTTAAGGTACAGCCTGCCACACTGCATTCACGGCCCGAACCAGATCCCTACGAGTTTCACGAGGCATACCCATTCTCAAAATTCTTCTTTGGACCGCGTCCAATACGTGCTCGATGGGGTTGAGGTCAGAAGATTGTGCCGGCCAGGGTAAGATGTTTAATTGATGAGCATTGATAAACTTACTTACCACTCTGGCTGTATGAGGCCGTGCATTGTCATGCATGAAAATGAAGTTTCTCCCAAAATCATTGGCATATGGTAACACGACAGGCTCAAGAATTAAATCACGATCTGTGATTCCTATTAGAAACCTTTCAAGAAAAACGAGATCGGTTTTTCGGCCTGGACTGGACTCCTCCCCAGACCATAACTGTTCCCCCTTGATAAGGGTGCATTTCCTGAACATGATCCAACCGAATAAGATTTCCCGGTTTTCTCCATACTCAAGCCTTTTCGAATCCGGATGAATTCCAAAGCGTGGCTCATCCGTGAAGAGAACATTGGCCCATTGTTCATTCGACCACTGAACATGATCTTGAGCCCACAAATATCGTACCTCTCGATTTCCTCTCGTTAAGGGTTGAGCTCTCCAGGGGTGTCTGCTTCTTAAGTTGACCTCTCTTAATCTATTGCGAACAGTGTCAGGACTAACGGTTACATTATGTGTTTCCTGGAGAATTAAACTAAGCTCTGGTGCGGTAAGAGTCGGCCGGCGTCGAGCATTTAATTGTAAAAAATGATCTTGCTGAGAGGTAGTAATGCGATGTCGCCCTGTGTGCCTTTCACCAACATCACTACTTTCACGGTAGCGTGCACTTAATCGCGATATTACACTTTGCGTTGTATTTAATGCTCTAGTTACGTCGATTTGGCGCATTCCAGCTTCGAGCATACCCATGGTCCTTAACATTTTGTCTCTGTTAAGATGTCTATGCTCCATAATGTCGTTTAATACTAAACAGAGTTATTTGAATGAATTCTGGCCAGTTATCATAAAAACATAGCTAGTACAGGTTAAATTCTTAGGTGCTTTTCATACATTTGACAAAAAATGCACAAACACTTCTGCAAATATCCCAAATTTAGAAATAACTAGTGTGACTACTTCGTTTCAATCGAAGTAGAAAGAATCGGCCTACAAATATGTGGTTGTTTATTCAAAACATTTATTTTTAACTTTAATAAAATGATATCCCTAGATTTTTCCGGTGTGTGTATAGCAGTACCAGCAGTACTAAATTTGTGTGATTCCATTAGTTTCCTACTTTTGGCAATGCACGACATCCACACTGCGCCGACATGCGACAACTTGTCGTAAAATACACGACAAAACAGAGGCTCTTTGAACTTTACCGACTCGAGACGGGACATTCAAAAATCTTCGAATTTGGAAACAAAACAAAAATGAGACAAAAATGTGCAGAAATGTATTGAATTTGTCGCTAGTTTGTCGTAAAACATGAATGTTTCTGTCTTGTCGCTTGTTTTGTCTGCTTGGTCTGGACCCGACTTAAGACAATTCTAATTCCCACACCGTTTGAAAAACACCGTACGTTTGTACTTCTCGGTACAGTCGATTCGTCACCGAAAGAGTTACGTGAAAAAACACAAATTAAAACGACGTGGAATGTTTTCGAAACTCGTACGCATCGATCGTTTTAAAGCACATTCGAGTTTCGAAAAAATGTTTCGAAAAAATTACGACTCTGCCGCTTACCTTAATCCGCCGCCCAATTGGCATTTGCATAAGGAGAAGATCGACTTATTGCGTAACAGCCGAAACGATTGCATTTTTTTGTCAGTTGCATAATTTTCCGATCTGCGACCAGACGAGACGGTCTGCTTCTTAACTGGGGTCGTTTTAAAAGTAAAACGGTTTTGCACCAAAAAAATATGGAAAAGAGTTAAACGTTTTGAATTTTGGACAGTTTTTTGGTTCGTTACATACAGGGTTGTTATGTTTTAAATGTTTTGTTAAAAAAACATGTGTTTTAGATGTATTATTTGTATTAAACCAAATCAAATATGTTTGGTGTGTAAAGATTTTTTTAGGGTTCCGTACCCAAAGGGTAAAAACGGGAACCCCAATTTTACTCAAAAAAGTGTGAGTGGACCTTGGAGGATTACTAAGACTTCGCTGTCCGTCCGTCCGCTACAAAGGTCTATCTTATGAACCGTTATAGTTAGACAGTTGAAATTTTTACAGATAATGTACCTATGTTGCTGCTATAAGAACAAATACTTAAAACAGAATTAAATAAATGTTTATAAATAAAAAAGTACTTTCACTAAATATTATCTTTTAAGTAAGAATTTTACATAGAATCTTTCAAGTCCTCGGTGGCCGCGTGGTTAAAGCGTTAGGACTTTCCGCTGCTATGACGTTGGAGCCGTAGAAAGCAGGTTCGAATCCTAGGCGACTTTTTTTTAATCGTTTTTTTTTTAATTTTTACATATTTATTTTTACTTTTTACATATTTATTATTGATTAATACAATTTTTAGTAATGAGTTTCTTCATTTTTTTAAATTACTTATACGTGCATTCAAAATTTCAACTAAATCGGAAAAAAAGTTTATCGCATATAGTATCTAATGTATAGATAATGAATGGTACGGAACCCTTTGTGCTCGAGTCCGACTCGCACTTGACCAATTTTTTTTTTCAATTTTGACCAATTTATTTATAATACTATCTTCTTGCAATTTTGTAGCACATTAATGTGAAATCCGCATCTTTGTATCTCTACCCATAAAAGATAATATAACCCGTAAAACACACGAAAATGAGACACAGTACAGTATAGTTTGTCTATTTTTTGTACTATTCATCTAAGTTTGAAAAGGAGAAATTTTTTTGAATTCAGCAATATACAGAAGAATAAAAGTAATAAGATTTTTAAAGCAAAAATCTAAATCATTTATAATTTTTATGCTGTCATTAAATTTTTAAAAAAGGTATATACAGGGTGTCCCAGAAATAACTGCAAGTATTTTAACTGGTAGTATAGTTCACCCCCAGAAACACGCCTATGAGGTTTTTTCGCGAAAAAAAAAATTGAAAATTCGAATTTTTTTGAAAAAAATTTTGGAAGTTTTTTTTGTTAAAAAACATAATTTCTTGATAATATGGCAACATAGGTAGTAGATTAAATTTACAAGAAAGAAAATCCAGAAAAGATCCAATGGTTCTCAAAATTTTGGCAAAAAATAATTTTTTTGGGAAATTTTCAATGTAAAATAACTCCGCTATTTTGAACTTATTTGAAAAACGATAAAGAGAAAATATGTTTCTTTTATCGAGATCTACCACCTCTTAAAATACTTGCACTTATTTCTGGGACACCCTGTATAATTTTATTCATCCCACATATAATATATTTCACTAATATTTCTTTTAACATGGGCTACCATGTAAAATTCTTAAAAAATATACAAAGACCAGTAGATATCTAGAAATGAGAAAAATAATCGCAAGTCATAGAAGGTTATTACAGGAACCAATACAACAATATACAAATTTTAATAGCGGCAAAAAAAGAATAACAGATTAAATTAAGATTCTTGAAATGTTTTTATTTCCCTTTATGTGTGTAAAAATATAATGATATTTGATTTTTTTTTACTATAATTAATTTTTTTTTTCATTCAATTAAAAATTTATAATGAAAAAATTAACTTACTTAATTAAAAATTAACTAACTTAACTTAAATTTAAAAAAAAATTAACTTAAAAATGGCTTAACTCGTAGCGTGAACTAAATAAATTTTATGCTTTTTTAGCATTTTAAAATAGAAGATTAAAAAAACAGGAGAAATATGACTTTAATTAAAATTCTACCAATAACAAATTATCAAAGAAGCAAGATGAAATTATATTGCTATAGAAACGCGTTTTGATTTTTTTGGAATACTTATAAGAATGTATTTTTCTCAAAATATCAATAATAAAAAAGTGTTTCCTCTTCTAAAGACAATCCGGGTACATACTGTATGTTATTTCTGGAAGTATTACAGAAATTAGACGAGACTAACTCATTGTTTTTCTTTCTTTCCAGTTGGACAATATAAATTTATGTTTGGCCACACTCCACGCTCAGCACATCCAAGGAATCGAGGGCATATCGGCCCAAGAGCTACGCGATGGCAAGCTGAAGGCGATTTTGGCGCTCTTTTTCGCCCTCTCGCGCCACAAGCAGGCAACTAAAGCGCGCCAACAGCAAGAGATGACGCCGAACAGGTAGGCAACCAGTATTACCGCTCGGCTTTGCAGGCCTACGATGCACCAAGTCGGCCGAAGTTTATTCGTATATTTGTAGTTGTTTTCAAGAGCGCATTCACCATTTTGTCAAGATGGGTTGTAGTATTAGCGAAATCATGAGATATTCTATTATATCAATTATTAATATAGTTACATACCGGATATGATCTAAAAAATTACAAGATATGTTTCAACTGAAGGGCTGTAACTACATCAGGATGCTTTCTGTTTAAAAAATTGTTTTTTTAAATAGTTTCTTTAATCTTTATCTGTACTATCATCCACTGAAATTTGGTACCTTATTTTTTACACCCTGTATATTTCCCATTACTTGTTTGTTAACGCTAATTTATTGTTGATGAAATAAATATATTGGCAATATTGAATGAGTCCCTGATATAAACGAATTGGAATTGCAATTTTCTAATCAAATAAACAAGGCAAATTATGTCTGTAAAAATAAATAAATAAACATATGTTTCTATTCAGGTAACAATTGACATTGTTGACATACACAGCTGTAAGGTTGCTATCAGTAATTTATAACAGAACTGCGAAGAAATTTTAATAGTAATGTGATTAAAAACAATTTAGCACAAGTGCTCTTACGAATATTACTTATAGCCTTGTTTATATAGCTTTTATAAAATTTTGCAATGTAAATAAATGTCAAATGGATTTTATTTATAAGCAATACAAATAAGTATATAAATAATTACATATTCTATGATATTTTATGGTTTTAAAATTGAATGCCCTACATTTTAAATTTCCAAGTGCACAGAAAAAAAAATCAATGAGAAGGTTTTAACAATAATTTACTAAAGAATACTAAATTTGCTAAAAGTAATATAAAAGTAATAAATTATAAAATAACAATAATGGTAAAAAAATTTAATAGTTTTGAGTCAATAAGCACTTGTATTTCCTTAAAATATATAGGATGTCCCTTAAATAAGTGTAAATATTTTAAGGAATAGTAGATCGGTACAATTATTTGATGAATCACAATTTGCCGCCGGCATAGAACTATCAGGTTAAGTTTATACCGCCGTCAACGACAAATTAATTAAATTTTCCAGCAACATTTACAGATATAGAAATATCATACCGCCGGATGACGGTATTTTTGTATACACTAACAATACCGCCAGTGTGTTAAATTTATTTATAAATCACACTATACCGCCGTTGGACGGTATTTATCTACCAGATTAAGTTCATACCGCCGTCAACGACAAATTAATTCAATTTTCCACCAGCATTTACAGATATAGAAATATCATACCGCCGGATGACGGTATTTTTCTATGCACTAACAATACCGCCGACGGTTGTTTAGTCAGTGTGTTAATTTTTTTAATAAATCACAGTATGCCGCCGTTGGACGGCATTTATCTACCAGTTTAAGTTCATACCGCCGTCAACGACAAATTAATTCAATTTTCCACCAGCATTTACAGATATAGAAATATCATACCGCCGGATGACGGTATTTTTCTATGCACTAACAATACTGCCGACGGTTGTTTAGACAGTGTGTTAAATTTTTTAATAAATCACAGTATGCCGCCGTTGGATGGTATTTATCTACCAGATTAAGTTCATACCGCCGGCCGTCAACGACAAATTAATTCAATTTTCCACCAGCATTTACAGATATAGAAATATCATACCGCCGGATGACGGTATTTTTCTATGCACTAACAATACTGCCGACGGTTGTTTAGTCAGTGTGTTAAATTTTTTAATAAATCACAGTATGCCGCCGTTGGACGGTATTTATCTACCAGATTAAGTTCATACCGCCGGCCGTCAACGACAAATTAATTCAATTTTCCACCAGCATTTACAGATATAGAAATATCATACCGCCGGATGACGGTATTTTTCTATGCACTAACAATACCGCCGACGGTTGTTTAGTCAGTGTGTTAATTTTTTTAATAAATCACAGTATGCCGCCGTTGGACGGCATTTATCTACCAGTTTAAGTTCATACCGCCGTCAACGACAAATTAATTCAATTTTCCACCAGCATTTACAGATATAGAAATATCATACCGCCGGATGACGGTATTTTTCTATTCACTAACAATACTGCCGACGGTTGTTTAGTCAGTGTGTTAAATTTTTTAATAAATCACAGTATGCCGCCGTTGGACGGTATTTATCTACCAGATTAGGTTCATACCGCCGGCCGTCAACGACAAATTAATTCAATTTTCCACCAGCATTTACAGATATAGAAATATCATACCGCCGGATGACGGTATTTTTCTATGCACTAACAATACCGCCGACGGTTGTTTAGTCAGTGTGTTAATTTTTTTAATAAATCACAGTATGCCGCCGTTGGACGGCATTTATCTACCAGTTTAAGTTCATACCGCCGTCATCGACAAATTAATTCAATTTTCCACCAGCATTTACAGATATAGAAATATCATACCGCCGGATGACGGTATTTTTCTATGCACTAACAATACTGCCGACGGTTGTTTAGTCAGTGTGTTAAATTTTTTAATAAATCACAGTATGCCGCCGTTGGACGGTATTTATCTACCAGATTAAGTTCATACCGCCGGCCGTCAACGACAACTTAATTCAATTTTCCACCGCCATTTACAGATATAGAAGTATCATACCGCTAGATGACGGTATTTTTGTATACACTAACAATACCGCCGATAGTTGTTTAGCCAGTGTGGCAAATTTATTAATTTTGACGCCCTCTTATGCTTGTAATTTGATAGATTTTTGATGTTTACTTTTTTTATAGAATTAAAGGATTTATATTTTTTCTCAAAGATTTTATATCTCTAAATTCTGATAACCTTTTCATTACAATGGAAAATCAGCTTTAGAAACTTATTATGTGTAGTTTTCTTGATTGGTTTGAACATAACAATCAGAGCAACAAAAAATTTATTGTTAAAATCTATAGTTAAAATTTAAATTTTGTTTACAAAATAAATTAAAAAGAAATTATAGGTATTTTTTAATCCCGTAAAACATATACGAACATAAATGTCCAAACTTACATGAAATCCATAAAACCTAAGTACCTAATCCAATGTACAAAATAATAGTCACATTAAATCCTCAAACAATATACATTTAATCCTTTTAAATGCTGTTCAAACCCTCGATTATATGACATTAATCTGATATACAAATAACAGCTTATCTTCTCTAAATAATTGCACCTTGCTCGCCCATTAATTTACATTATTCTGCGATTTTAAACTTGTACTTTTAATAAAGGAGGTCTACCCTTTCTTCGAAGCAGGCTGCAATGCTCTTATCTTAAATGAAAGGGTGGATGCCTCAGAGTAAGAAATAACGAAGTTTCCTGTTTGTTATTAACATTCGTCCACATTGCTCCTGATCCTGCTCGCGCTTTTTATTCAAAATTTGAGCTAGATAAGTATAGGAACTCCTAATGTAGTTTGAAAGAGCATTTGAATCTGCTTCGATTTATTTTAAAAAAAAATACAGGCTGTTGCATTTGAAATAACGAAGTTTTTATATATAATATATTCTTAAAATGGATCAGCAACTTTTGATAGCCCTGTATAAATTTAAGGAACCAGTACCATTTTTCAGTAAAGTTTATTTATCTACCTTGAAACTCAGCATAAGAATTAATTCTGAAAAGTACAGTACAGGGTGTTAATAATTTATTATACTGTAGCATGCAAATTTAAATATCTCAAAAATTAAAGATTTTAAACATTCAAACCTTAACCTTAACGGATAAATGCCTTTTTTTGGCATTATATAGGCAATTTGGCATGTGCAAGATTTTTGGAAAAGATTTGTTCAAAATTTTTTATTGTACTTTTTATCACCCTCAGGCATTGTTGTTTCCTTTTCCTTTCTATTCCACAGCCAACTTAGCTTCCCCCGTTTTACCCCATGCTTCGCTAAGTAACGAGATTCGTCCCAACGCCTCTCCCCATTCACCTCGGGGGGATCGATTAAATTTTATTTATTTATCCCGTGAGACGCTAAATTATGATTAGTGATGCTGTTTTGCAACTACTACGAGACAAAGGCCGTGGACGCGTGTGGGGGGAGGGGGAGTTGACTTAAGCCGTTCTGAACGGTAGAAGTTTGGTAAATAATAAAATTGGAAGCTGTAGGAGAATTTTGAATGAAGAACTGGCGGTATTTCTATCAAAATAGTGTTTATATTATTTTTTTTGAATAGCAACTGTTAAAATTGCCTTATATCTATCAAAAATAGTAGATAAAATAGTACTTTGTAGATTAAATAATACTTTAACAGCGAGGATAGGTTAAAAACTTTATTTCTTCTCGCACGTTTTTTAATGGCTTCCATTTTTGAAAATTTTTGTATTCCTTTTCATAAGTTATTCGGGATTTAAAGAAAGTAGTTTGGATATGGCGTTGGTCGCCTTAGCCTGAATATCTGTTGGTAATTTACTTATTTTGTTTTGAGCCATTTCTGGCTCCAATTCAATCAGCAATCGACACGAAAGAGAATTAAAAAATATTGACTCAAAACTGACAACTGAAGAGACAGCTTTATTTATTTGTCAAATTACATAGAAACCAACGCCAACCCGGCAAAATATTTTTTCTACTCGTAGTAAATTCCTTTAAATAATAATTTCTGAATATTTTTTAAAACGTAACTCGTTATGGAAAAAAATAAAAACAAAAAACAAAATTTTAAAATACGTGAAAATATTGAAATGTCGGCTTTTTTGTACCATTGTAGCTACATCTTTTTTTATAATTTGATAAAAAATCTATCCTGGAAGATCTCAATTTCACCCTTCGTTGCCCCGGACCGAGCAAAACGAAACGAAATAAACGCTTTTCCGAATTTTCCGTAAAAAAGTCATAAATTTCCCGGCAGATGGCCGATCGGGGGACCGTTATTTCCCGTTTTCCGGCTTTCCCGAAGCGTTACTCTTCTTTTTTCTATCTCAGTCTGTTTCGGTATT